GGAGCGCCGCTGCGCTCCCAAGCGGCGCACTGTAGCAGTGCGCCACCGGGCCGGCCCCTGGATCAGTGGTTCTTAATCAGTGGGTGATTTTGCCCCTGGTGGACATATGGCAATGTCTGGAGACATTTTCGATTGTCATGACTGGGGTTGGTAGAGCTACTGGCATCTAGTGGGTAGAGGCCAGGGATACTGCTAACATCCTTCAAAGTGCAGGTCAGCCCCCACATCAGAGAATTATCCAGCTCCAAATGTCTGTAGTGCCAAGGCTGAGTATAGGTCCAACTAATAGTATTCTACTATGAACAGATTAATTGTCTTAAAACATTTCTTTCCAAAACTTACATGGCTCCTACTGCCTAGAGAATAAAGGCTCACTTCCAACAGGCTCTGGCCTCCAATTTCTCTCCAACCTCGTCTCCTCCCTCTTTCCCTGTTGTAGCAACAGTAACAGCAGGTCCCTGGACACTCCAGACCTGGAGCAACCTCTCAGCTCTCTCCCTGACTAGTCAAAACCTAACACTGGCGGCTTTTAACTAATGTGATTCCTGGTCCCACTCCTGGACATTCTGATTCAGTAGGTCAGGGTGGGGCTCAGCAGTACTTTCCGAAGCCCCCAGGAGGCTGATGTTTGGCCAGACGTGACAACCACCATACCCTGGTGTGCATCTTTATGTATAACTTGCTCCTTGTTCTGTCACCACCTATGCACACTAACCCTTCACGTGTACTTCCACCTTATTTTATTAGCTGGGCTATAAAGATGCTGGAGGGCAGCGACCTCATCTTAGAGATTCTGGCCACTCATAGGTATCCAGCCCAGAGTCTTGCCCTCAAGAATCTTAGGTAGTGAATTAAACTCTAATTCAGGAATTTTCAGACTTTGCTGAACCCAGAAGTCACCTAAGATGTTTCTTAAAAATGTACAACCCCAGGTTCCAACCCCCAGGGGTTCTGCCTCAGTAGCTCTGGGTTGGGGACCCTGGAACCTGGATTTTTAGCCAGCTGGTTTTGAAGCAGGTGTCCCTCAGCCTGCTGTTCTGATCCTCCAACATGTCTGGTTCTAGGCGTCTCAAGGGCCTGTGGCAAGCCTTGTGCAGATAAATGCTCTTTTATTGGATGCTGGACCACCCCAGCCCCAGAATCCTGGGAGACCAGGAGACACTTACACACATGCTGGCTTGTCCTCCTGCACCAAAAACCTGCAGGTTCCATGGAAGCAGAACTGAGTGTGCGAATCTGGGCAGTCATTAAAATGTGACACCACTGCGGCAGCCACGGGCGGTTCTGCTGGGGAGAGAAAAGACACTCAGATTTGGGCTCAGATTTGGGCACAGCTGACACATGTACTTCTGTGGCCCCCACCCTTGTGGTCAAGGAGCCCCTGAGGCTAGGACTGGAGCCACTGATGGTTGGGACTTCTGGTCCCCATCTGGGGCACCCCCTTCTCAGCCTCACCCTCCTCCTAACACCCAGTGCAGGACCAGAGCCCCTGCATCATGCGCTTCCTAAGCAGGGTTTTCTATTTTTGTAGACAACAAAACAATCTTCCCCAAAAGATTCAGTGTAAGTTCAAAGACATGAGAGCAATTTTACTATTTCAACCCAAGAGCTACCTAATTTCACTTTTGCAAAGTGACAACGATCGATCCTATTTTTAAAGATACACTTCACAAAAAATCTGTTTTAAAAGCAACAATCCAGAAGAAAGATACAAAAGATCCTATAATATTTCACTTTTGCAAAGTGACAACGATCGATCCTATTTTTAAAGATACACTTCACAAAAAATTGGTTTTAAAAGCAACAATCCAGAAGAAAGATACAAAAGATCCTACAACCTTTAAATGGATGCAGAGGCAACATAGTCACTGATACAAAAAGATGCTCATGATATACTGTAAGTGAAATAAATGTGTTTCCAATATGGTCTGTATAGGATGATTCTACTTTAAACACACACACACAAACAGAAAGTTAGACAGGAAGAAGTCTGGGAGGATATACATTAAAACGGTAGCAGGGCTTCTCTCGGGTGGTGGGGTCAGGAGTGACAAGGCTGTACAGATGACAGAGAGCAGCATTAAGGGGAAGAGAGAAAAAGGGAGCAGAGTCGGGGACAGAGACGGGGCCGATGCACAGCCCTGCCACCCATAACTCCCATGAGTTTGAGGTGGTCACCACACCTCTCAGGGTTTTCCTTCCTTGGCTTTCTAACAGGAATAAAAATAGCCAGCTATTTCAGGAGCACTGAAATGCAAAACACACGAACATACCTGCTGACCAAAAGCACAAAAGGCATCGTTTAAATTTACTTATTCCACACCCATAGCCCCATTTTGTCCTAATAACATTTGAAGCACAGTAGGTTGCCATTTCAAGATGACACAATAAATGTAGTTTCCATCCCTTCTTTCAAGAGGTCCTCTCAGGCTTGTGTTCTGACTATTTGGGGAGTGGGTCTTTCCCACTTAGTTTTTTTGGGGAAAAATATGTTCTTGGAGCTCTTGCTATTTGCAAGAGGGAAGAACATTTCATATTGTGGAGTATTAGACCAACACTAGATATCAGACTGCTGTTGTTGTCTAGAAGTGTCATACTTTTAGAAATCCCACAATTCAGTGGAAAAAGCAGAGGCCAAAAATACAACAGAACCCTTGACATGGAAGGCAAGAGACTGTGTAGTGGTTAAAATCATGGGCTTTGGGGTCAGAGAGACATGGGTTTGAATCCTCCCTTGGACACCTGGATGAAGTGCCCTCTCCCTGTGGCTTCTGCGTCCACACAATGGGAAGTCTAGCTGCCTCATTGGTGGCTCTGAGGTTTAATGACGTAGAACTTGTTAAGTACTGTACCCAGCTAGTTGTCTGGTATATAACACTCAGCTGTTAGCTCTCCTATTATCATCAACGACAACCCCGAGATACTAGTAAATCCCCACATGTGATAAGACCACTATGGTGTATCACCCTCCTTCCCTCTATAAATTCAGAAGAGTGTAACTAAAAGTCCAGCTGTCCCCTTCATTCCCTAACAATAGTTACTATCATGTGTGAGCATAAGCAGAGGAGCCCAAAGCCAGGAGGAGTTGTGGACCCAGGGCTGCAGGCTAGCCTTGCTCTGGCTGCGGGATTCTCCATTGAGCAGCAGCCTCAAGGACTGCTGTGGCTGAGTACAGTCACCTGCACATCCCAGGCCTGGGTGGCTGATGAACAGGCTCAGTCACTTGCTAGCCATAGGCACTGGGGATGTTAAATCGAACCTGGAAGGGTTGTATTTGCATCACTGGCTTCATTGTGCTCCCTGAACTTGTCAAAAAGTAACTATGGAAAGATGAGGGGCTAGAGACGAGTGGATCTAATTTGATTTAGGTGTTCAAAAGGCTTTTGATAAGCTCCACTGGAGGCCATTTAAACAATCACCTCCAAGCAGCTAGAGGAAGTCCCTTGTCAGGGCTTTGAGCTGGGCTTCCCCAGATGTGGTCTGTGGATAGGCAGCTTCACATCCAGGGGAGTGAGTTGAAAGCCAAGTTCCTGGGCCCCACCCCAGACCTACTGAATCAGGATGTTTGGGGTGGGGCCCAGGAACGTGTGTGACAAGCTCATCAGGTGAGTTTTTAAAAGTCAAGTTTGTTGAGATAGAATTGCTCCAGTAACGTTTGCCCTGCAGGTGATCCTGCTGCACACTAATGTTTGAGACACTCAGGCTTGTGTTACACAGGAAGCAAAGGACAGAGACAAACAGCCTCTTAGGAAAGTAAAATGACAGGAGTCCTGCAAGAGATCCTTTTCAGAGCTGGTCATCTTCTAGTTCTCCAAATGCCTGTGTGACACTAAAGTCTTAAAATCTGCTGAGATTCTTCTTGGTAAAGTGTCAGGTCAAAAGAAATACACTAAAAGAAAAACAAACACACACACACTTTGGATCTGTCTTTGGGGAACACTTCTCCCCAAAACTGGTGAGGAGTGGACTCGATGCCGTGGTCTCATGTAACCTCTATTGATGGATACTTTGCTGTTTCTCATAAATGACTTGAGGGGCTTTATAAAAACAGGTACCATATAAAGGGGATGCAAATGGGAAAGAGGTGTGTGTGTGAGAGAGAGGGAAAGGGATGGAGGGGGAGAGAGGGAAAGACAGAGAGAGCGGGGAGAAGAAAAGGAGAAGGGGGGAGGGAGAGAGAGGAAGAAACAGAGACGGGGCCAGGCAGTGAGAGGGGAAGGAGAGATCAAGGCAAAGGAAAATAAGGGCAAGAGTAGCAAAGAGCAAAATCAGGTACCGGCTTCCTATACAAAGACCCAGCAGAGTCTCACGCATGTGCTGAAGCTGAGCGGCAAACGTAGCTCTCTGCCTCCTAGCTACCTAAGCAAGGATGCACTTGGTTCATTAGATAGAAATACAGCTGTTTGGTACATGCAGGGCAGGCTCGGCTTTCCCTAATTCTATGGTCAGAGAGCAACTTCTCTTCTGTGGGTGTTTTCAAAGGGGACTTCTTATGGTATGGTGGACAACACCCTCAACAATATCCCGAAGATATCTCAAAGAAGCACCTGCCAATGTAAACTGTCTGTCCTTCACTTCACACAACTCACTAAGAAGCCAGATGCTCCAAGCTACAAAAAAACTCCATGCAACAGTAACAGAGATGGCAGATAACACATGGGGGTTTTGCTCTGTGCGTTCAGAGACCAGGTGGAAACCAGGAGTCTGATGCTTAGAATGCACGCTCCCGGTGCTCTGTGATTCCACCTGTCTGCCTCACCCAAGGAGCACAGAGGGGACGAAGGGAGCTCGATGCTAGTCAGTTATCACCATCATTAAAAGATGTTTTATTTAAAAAAATTTTCCTAATTACAAAAGAGATACATTCACTTTGGAAATGTTTTCAAAAGTTTCAAAACATTTCCTTCCCCCCACCCCATCCCCTGCCCCCAGGTTATTTATTTATTTATTTATTTTTAGTTCTTCCAAATTTTATTTTCATTTAAAACATTTTTTATTATTTACTATTAACATATTCATTCTTACAAATCTCAATTTTTCTTTATGCCCTTTACCCAACCTATCATTCCCCAACCCCCCTCCCGTTCTCTCCCCCATCTCTAGTATCCTTAGGATTGTTCTCTCCTTCTGAAAGTTCAACATATTGTTGTGGTCTTCTCTTTCTTTCTTTCCTTTCCTTTTCTTCTCAGCATCCAGTTATGAGTGAGAACATGTGGTATTTCTCTTTCTTTGTCTGGCTTATTTCACTTAACATTTTCTCCAGACTCATCCATGTTGCTGCAAATGGCAGAATTTCATTTTTTTTTTTTTTTTATGGCTGAGGAGTATTCCATTGTGTATATATACCACTTTTTCCTTATCCAGCCATCCACTGATGGAAACACTTAGGTTGGTTCCATATTTTGGCTATTAAAGAAAAACATGGAATGCTTCACGAATTTGTCATCCTTGCGTGGGGGCCATGCCAATCTTCTCTGTATTGTTCCAATTTTAGTATATGTGCTGCCGAAGCCAGCACCCAAACATTTCCTAATTATAAAAGTGATAATATTTTTTTGGAACTTTTTGAAAATATCACTATATAATAAAATCATCTTAGAGAATAAAACCCATCATTAATCTACCACTTAGAGAGAACTATGTAAGTACACACTGTACACAAATGCAGTATATAAGCTTTTGTATAAGCTTAGTGTTCTATTTTGCTACAGGCATCCCTCCCCCCCATATAATCACAAACATATTAAAATCGAGTACTTAGTTCAAGACGCTTTGCACAAGGTGCTGTCCCAGCCCCCAACCCAGGGAAGTTCAATGTGTACCACCTGCGGGGTGGGTCCTGTTTCCACTGGCACATTCTGCAGCTTTGGAGCTCATCACAGGTTTTCAACCAGGGAACGTGATTTGCACTTGAGAAGTGGACATGGAGGAACGGGCCAAACAACAGCCCAAGGGCGAGCCACACAGCTGCCCCCTGCTGCCACTGTGCACCCCAGGGTAAACCAGCCGTAGCAGGAGGGGAGGCATTAGGGGCATGTCTGGTCCTAGAGGGGACGTGGAAGTCTCGTGGGCTAACACACTTCACTAAAGTCCTGTGCAAAGTGTGAAGCTTGTGACAAGTGAGGGGGTACTGTTGTTCCTTTGGGGACCTTTAAATGTGCTTGTTTCAGATACCACCAGAATCAGCAAAGAATACCCTCAACACCACAGCATGGTCAGCCCCGACAGACAAGACCACTCCTACCAATGCTCAGGAGAAAAGGAACTTGGGGAAGGTTGGTGAG